GTTCTTGGTGGAATAGATCTGCTACTCTCCTGCTGCTGCTGCTGCAGAGTAAGCATTGAATACATGCTACTGCTGCACATATAATAACATACATATATAACCCTCTAACAAAGCAGGAAACATGAGAGGAATGCAGAGTCTTCCCCATCCCAGACTTCTTATCAGATCATTTACAGGCTGTACAGCCAATGCCAAATAAAGCTGTTGTGGAACAGCTAAAAAGAAGACTATTGCTATACATTTGTAAAACAACTCCCAAACAAGTATTCCTCCCCAGTCCATCCCATTTTTATTTATTTTTTACATGTGGATTGCATGTTTTACTATCTATGTGTGCCTGGGCTACCTTGCCAAATGGCTTTACACTAGACAAGCTTAACCAGTGTTTTCCACATCTGTCCTGGGGACCCCCCAACATCTGTATATTTTGTATGTCTCCCTCATTCACTCACCATCCCGTTAGTAGAGTCTGCAAGACCTGAACTAGGTGTGGCCTATAAGGGAGACATACAAAATGTGCAGTGGTTGGAGGACCTCAGGACATGTTTGAGAAGCACTGTCCTTAACAATATAGATATGATGTTGCAAGTTGTTAGAGATAAGAAAACCCTGCCACTACCTGAGCAAGTATCACCAATCAAGTCATTTGATAATCATTAACATAACCCTTATACTCTTATCTGAATTGAAGTGAAAAGCCATTGTTAAAGATAAATGATGACAGGAGCGTGCTCTGATGCTATATTCAGCTGAAATCAACTGCGCACATTAAGCATGGCTAATGAAAACATCATCTTTTTGAAATATGAACGTGTCATTATATTTATGCGGTTAAACATTGTAACAATATTGAAAATGCAAATGCTTATTTCACTTTAACCTTTCTTGTCCATAGCTTAAACAGTGTATCCTCACTTAGTTTAACTGTAATTATTACTCATTTAGAAACAGGTAGTTTGGGATACAATAAATAGTAATGCAGTATACATAATGCGTTGAAGGCATTACGCTGTAAAAAAAAAAATAAGATTAATAAGTTATGACAACATGCTTTTCCATTACTTTCACTTTTTAAATTTTTATACAAAATACAACTCACTTTTTAAAGTCAGTTTAATGTAATTTAAGTTGAAATTATTAAACAGCAAAGTTGATTACTTAAAAATGTAAGGCAGCAACTTATTTTATGAGGGGGAAAAAAAAGTTTTAAAATGTCTTTATTTGCTTCTTCAGCTCCATCTCTCGAGTCCAGTCTTTTGTCCCAGCCTCCCTCAGTCTGAGGATGAAGAAGTCCAGATTCTGAAGAGTGAAGGCTAAGTCTGGCTTTAATGTGATTTGAGACAGATGCTTGATGGTCTTGTAAGCATTGAACAGAAGAATGAATATTTTGCCCTCGAGCTTCTGCAGATCTTTGACAAAATCATCCATTATACCCCCCTAGTTTCTAGTTTTCTTTGACATGTTTGCTGTGCCTGGGCAGATGGTGGAGTAGCCATTTTTCATGACTTCACATTTGCTAGGATCAGAAACCCTCCAGAAGTCAAACTCATGGCAGTCTTTCTCACAGACGGGTTGTCGCCTTCCTGCTCTTCCATGATTGCTTTCAATGGGGACCTTCACTTCGAAGGTATTTTTGTCTTTAATGGTGAAGTACTGCAATTGCAGGTTTCAAACTGAGATGGCGACAAAGATGCAAAACTTACAGACTGCAGCTTTAATTAATGCACGTAATTTATTGTTCAGAATCTACGGTGACTAGGAAGCCATGGCGGAGCAGGGAACTCAGGAGGCTATGACGGAGTTGCCTCCGTGCCCATGGCCCCGGCCTCTACGGAAGGATCCCTATAACCCCTAATAATCCTTGGGGAGAATATTGGCTTCTGAGGCCTAACTCGGGAACTGTGGCACTCCCTGGGCTTGACGTGGGAACAGGAGCCCTCCCTGGACTTATATAAGCTTCATGCAGCAAGTTGGACTTTTCATTTTTAATCTTCTCTAGATCACTGATCCGTTTTTCTTTTTCTGTGGTTTTATTTTCAGACTTGCATGTTACTTTCAAGTTCTTTTTTAATATTTTCATTTTTTTTTTTTTTTATAAACTGCTTACATTCTGGTCACCAGCATGTTCATACTCCTTTTTAAATTCTTTAAATGTTATTTCAGTTTAATTTCTCTTCATTACATATGTTTGGTTCTCTTTGACGTGTTTGCTGTAATGACACTTCCCTGTACACACAGTGCAGTGGTCGTTTTTCATGACTGAACACTTTGAGAGATCATTCACCCACCAACAGCCCCATTCATGACAGTTTTCCTGACAGACGGAGCAGCAGGTTGCATTTCTGTTCATCCATGACACATTTTCAGTGGGGACTTTTTCTTTAAAAACCCTTTCAACTGTAAACACAAAATTAATGTATTTCTGAATCTTGTCTCTGTTCTGTTTGAGGGCTTCCTGAATCTGAGTTAGTTCTTCCGTTTTTTCTCAATCTCAGAGATTCACTCCTTCAGATTAGAGACACAAGCCTCAAGTCGTCTTTGCTCATTCAGCACATTTATTGTCATCTGAAGACTTTTTCTGTTCCTTTCTTTCAGGAGTTTGAAGAACTCATTCATGTTTTTCTCACCCATTTGAGATTTTGACCCCAATAAGTTGACTAATGTATTTTACAATGTGACAATAAAAAAACAAATTACTTAACATGCACGGATCTTTCCAGTTTAGTTTGACACAAATTAAAGTGTAAAATGTAAATCTTAATTTAAGGTCCGACAGTAAGTTGAAACCACAGCAAACTCTCAGTGCTTCTTCTTTCTCTTTACGTCCTGCCCTCAAAACAGGTTGAACAGGTTATAGCTTAACCCGTACAAAGTAGAACAAAACATGAAAATCATTGTAAGTATACTAAAAACTAGATTGATTGGCTGAGCTGCACTAACAAATATACAGTACCCAATTAAATGTATATATGTATTAATTTACTTACAGTAATCTAAAAAGATTGACCAAAACATTTTTCTGTGACCAGACAGAGTGCAGAGTGACGGAGGAGACTGACTGAATTATGTCTGTCAGTATTTCCCCAATATGTTGACTAATGTCTTTCATCTTGTCATTCATAGGTTTATTCTGAAATTTAAAGATCATCTTCAATGTGTTGTCCAGAATTCAAGACTACCAGCGGACACAAGGTCAGAGGATCTCAAAGTAAATGGACACCACACCAATGAAGAGGGATATTCCTAATATGTTTCCATAGAGCCTTTATTAGCACATCTGAAATGTTCTTCCAATGTTTTCCAAACAAACAAACCCTTAACCTTAATTCCTTAATGATATATATATAGAAAGAGAGAAGTCACTCTCTTTGGTGCTTGTATGGGTTAATTTTCTCTTTAACAATGTTGTATTTAATAAAGTTAAATATACAACACTTTAAATATAGAAAAAATTTAAATAAGAGTAATTGTCCTCAGAGGTGATTGTTCTGTCTCCAAGAAATATGTAAGTAGGTAAAAGAGGGAGTTAAAAGGGGGAATGTCTTCCTAATTGAGCTTTTATATATATATATATATATTTTTTTTTATTATTATTTATTTATTTTATTTTTTTAAGTTACATCTCTTTTTGCTGGGATTCTTTTGCTAAACAGCCCTAAACGGATTCCCATTCCATTTCAATGGTAGTTCTAAACCACTATGGATGCAATATTCTTTTTGGCCGCTAACACCCTCGTGGCACTCATCTGTGTTTTGGCACCCGGGGAAGTTTGAATTCGCAATTTTTATCCCGAAACACACAGCCAAACTTTGCAGCCAGATAAAGAGACTCATATCGTCCTATAGCGCTTACGGCAGTGCTCTGTGAGGTTAAGGAGAGGATGGTAACCAACAGATTGTGTCTGATAAATGATTAAATGTAAATATTAATATATTGTGTTATTTTTCAATCAAGTGTTTTATTGTACTACATACATAAATACTAATCATTGTTTATCTTAGCTGACCAATTGGAGACGACTTTAAGATTCATATTTTCAGGCTAATTGACATTTACTTTGAAATTGCTTCATTGAAATGTGTCTCTTTGCTGATTTAACATAACATGTCAAGTTATTTATTTCTGAATCACTCGATGCCGATTGTTTCAAAGCAGCTTTAGAGTAATAAACAGGAAGTCTATAATTGCTCATATATTTAATCTTGTAGTTGCTTTGATTTCAGCTCTAAAGCAGCTCTACAGAAGACGATGTAGTGTCATTGTTGAGCTCAAATCAGCTCAAATAATTTAATACATTAATGTTATTCT